CCCCCTTCAGTCATTGTGACAGCCAAAAAAATGCTCACACGCATTTTAAAGATATACCAGGGATACCAAAAAAATGTATACACATGATTTGAATTTGTCCTTTGTAATCGATATATTTTGAGTATTACAATTTTAATACAGTTTTTTTCCTTTCTTAAAATGTGTATACATTTTTTTTGGTACCCTCTGTATTTTAAGAACGCGGAAGTGTATAGGCCTTAAGTGTTTCGTTAAGTTTTGACAATTGTATGAACTCATGTAACCACCACGCAGATGGAGATGTGGAACATTTCCATGGCCCCTGTAAGTTCTCTCTTTCTCCTTTCCAGTCAGTACCCACCCTCAGTGGTAACTGTTCCTGTTTCTGTCATTGTAGATGAGTTTTATCTGTGCTTGGTCTTCATATACATGGAATCATATAGTAATTTTTGAGATCATAAAGTAATTTTTGAGATCCATCGGTGTTGTTGTAACCCCACATTACCTGATACACATAGGCTTCTAATTGCCAAATAGAATGGTGATAGCTGCCTTACTCCCACTGAGAAAAATATGGGCTGTGAGTTAAAGTCACTATGTCCTAGCCTGATGTACAAAACCCTCTGTCATGTGATGTGAGTCCCCTCCCCTGCCCACTCTCCAGCTGCACTGAGGTGGCCTTTTCCCAGCACACCTGGCCCTTCCATCTCTCCAGGCCTTTGCCCCGGCAGAGTTCTCTGCCAGAAATGTCCTCCAGAAATGTCTGGTGAACTCCTGCTTGTGCTTGAGATGCTCAGATATCACCTCTCTGTGCAGCTTGGCAGACTGTCCCATTGCGCCCTCCTAGGACTCCCATAAGACAGCCTCGGTTGACCCATAGCACATTTCTGACTTCACTTACTGGACCGGAAGCTGGTTGAGACAGAGACTGGGTCTTAATCATCTGCGTGTATCCTCACCAGCCCAGCTCAGAGCTTGACAGTGAAGAAATGGATGTAAGATTATAACAGGTCACATCTCAAGATTATCTTAGAGACAAGCTGGGTCTACAATTATCTTAGAGACAAGCTGGGTCTTCAATATTGTATGTCTGAAACCCACCTTCTGAAGCTGATAAAAAGAAAGGTGTTCAAAAAAGACAGGGTCATCTCTGACTACAAATGATAAATGTGGCATGAAACTCACTGCCAGTGAGGCAGAGACCTCCAGCCCTTCCCCAGAGGACCTGTCAACATGGGAAATGGCATCAATAAATGCCAAGGAGTACAGCACAGGGAGCCAGGAGGATGGGGAGGAGATCAGAGTCATCAGAGAAGGCTGCGGGGAGGAGGTGAGCTCCAGGAGTTTTAAAGAGGAGTCAGTTGAGCAAGGGAGTTACGTAGTCCGGGTAATCCATACGGAGCCTCAAAGCGTGATCCAGGGCAGCCTGTTCATGGGCTTGATCTGTCCTCTCGTGACCCTGGTCCTGAGTCCCACGCAGCTGCCCTTCCCTCCTTCTCACGCATTTCTTCCTTCCTTCTTTTTTACTTGGTCACGCCTTCCCATCTTCCTTCGAAAGCTAAGTATATAGGAAAAAGCTGGATGTGCATTGCCCTGCCCGCCTTCCCTCCTGCTCTACACTGGGCTCCCTGTTTTGGTGGATATAGAAGGAGGCCCGTTCCCTGCCCAAGTCCCATCTGGCTTTTATTTTTTTTCTTTCCCATTCCATTTGACTTCCTAGCTCACATTCTATTCTCCCTCCTGGCAAAAGAGCCTCAGACTTCACTAATGCTTTCAAACGCAGCCTCTGCCAGGCCCTACATCTGAATCAGCTGACCTGACTCCACTACCAAACCCTAAAGTGCCAGGATCTTCCCAGCCTGTGCTGCCACAGCTTAGCTGTGCCCGAGCACAGAAAGGTTAAATCAGAGGCTGAGGGAGGGGCCCTGACATAGGACTAGACCCCTCAGTGTGGTATGGAAGGAGCTGGGGGCCTCCCTAGCTGCAGGGGAGCCAACCTAGCTCTGAATCCCAGCTTTCCCCTCTGTGAGTGCTACATGCCCCATGAGAAGTGGTTTTGTAATCGATGAAGAGCAGAGCATCATGGGCAACCTGGAGCAAGGCACAGGCGGCCTTGGCCGTCCAGGCCAGGGCTTGGCATCAGGGATGCCTAGGGCTGAAACCAGAGGCAGGTAGAGACCACAGCACAAAATCAATTGTGATCAGGGTGGGTGTAGAGCCAGCACAGGCTAGGTCAGAATTCTAGTTCCAGGTGGATGGGGGAGAGCTGCAAGAGTACACAGACCCCAGTCCTAGAGAGCAGGTGACCAAGACAGAAACTGCCTGCCAGGGCATAAAGTGGAAAGCCAGGTGGAACTGGGCCAGTGTCAGAGCCAGACAAGCATCAGTGAGCCTAAGTGTTGATGAAACGCTTAACAACAATAGTATTAGTTAATACTTACATAGTGTAGTATGTGCAAGGCTTTCTGTTTGCTCATCACAATAATATTGAGCTAAGTGCTATTACTGGTCCATTTTACAGATGAGAAAACTGAGGCATAGAGAGTTGGAGTGAAATTTCTGACCTCCTCCAAGACTGGCAACATAACCCTTCACAGTCATAGCTTGAAATCTGCCTTGATGAGAGCATTTATACCATGGAAATGTATACAAATGCCACAAACCAGGGCTTTTAAAATTTTTACTTCTTTTGTTTTTTTTCAATCCCTTCATCTTTTTCATCCAAGCCTCCAACCCCGCTTCCCATATGGCAACCATCAGTTTGTTCTCTGAATCTACGAGCACTGGGCCCTGTTCTAAGCATTTTACATGCGTCTCTTGTAAAAACGTTGTGTGAGGATCAAAATTCATTTTATCTCCACGCAGAGAGCCCTCTGAAGTGTAGACACTGTTATCCCCATTTCACAGATGAGGAAACTGAGGCACAGAGAAGTCAAGTGTCTTGCTTAAAATCAGGCAGCCAGTAGGGGAGCCTTGATTCATGATTGGGCAACCCAATCCCAAAGTCTGTGCTTTGTAGTGGCTTTAATGAGCTATTTATACATGCGCAAACTCTAGCCCACTTTTCATTTATTTATTTTTTTTTAAATATGTCTTGATTATTTGCCTGGTGCCAGATAGAGTAGTAATCATGGGAAACAGGAAAGTCCATATAAGAGGCTGTAAACCTAATGGTTTAAATAAAGTCTGGGCCTCGGGTGGAGGCAAACTCAATCTGAAGCCTGGTTTTGCCACTTACCAACTGTGTGACCTTAAACAAGTGACTGGGTCTCTCCAGGTCCCAGTCTCCACATGTGTAGGAGATTTATAACCGTGTTTAGCTCATAGGGTTATAATGAGAAATGAATGATGTCATGCACAGCGCTTGGCACAGCACCCAGCGCACAGTAAGCACTCGGTAAAAAGAGGCTGCAGTGATTATAAACCACAAGTTTGTGAGGCAGGGATACAGGTATCAATAGATGATTACCAAACGTAGAGGTGAGAACAGAAAAAGGAGTACCCAGGTTTTCCTAAGGGAGTCAGGGAGGGTTCCACCGAGGAGGCGACATCTGAACAGGGTCTTTGAAGAGCCTTAAAGAGTTTTCCAAGCAGAGAAGGGAAAGGGGGGCTTTTCCAATGAAGGGGAAAGTGCATTCCAAGACATTGCAAATAAGGGTGAGCGTCTAACCGAATGGAAATACCAGAACACCCCACAAGAAGTGTGATCACGCCTTCGCTTTTGTGATTGCCTGTTTTCTCTTTGTAAATTAAACTGCATACCTGGGGACTAGAGGGGGTGGAGAGAGGGAGCAGAATAGAGTGTTTTCGGAGTCTTGGAGAACAGAGGGTTAAACCAGATGACCTTTGAACTCTGAAATCCTGCTCTTCAGTTGATCTTCTTTTGGGCTCTTGTCTACCACACAGGTAGGACTCTCCAAAGCAGGCACTCCTTATTACAGCTGAACACGACCTTGGCAGCATCTGCCCTCTACCCTTGAAGGTGAGGCAGCCTTTGCCAGGCTCTATGGCCCAATGCCTTGTTTCCCTGATCCTGGGAGCGCCCTCTGCTGGTCCCGTGCTGCTCCGCCACCATCCACCTCATTAAACCTTGCCGGCCCCAGAATTGAAGTTGGACCTTATGGGAAAGCCCTTAAAAGTCATTAAATTGAAGTCCTTTGATTTCTGTTTGGAGCTGCTGAGACTCATGTGAGAGGAAATGACTGGCCCAAGATCACACAGTGGCCAAGGACTAGAGCTCAGGGCTGCTGAGCTCTTGGCTAGTGAGCAGATGTCACCTCAGTAATGTAGCACAGCGGCATTACACGCACTCCCCACCCAAGCCGATCTTCCAAGGAGGGCTCCCTGGGCTGTTTTTCAGGTGGACAAGGGATTTCCAGTCATTCTGTTCCTGGGGGGGGACACACAAAGCAAATGGCCCTGCAGGGATGAGCTCCTTCAGAGCCCTGAGTATGGGGACAGGCACACTGGAGTCTCCCTCAGGCGCCTTCACTAATTCACCTACTGTGTGAGCCCAGCCACCACTTCACCACCTGAGCTTTACTTTCTTCATCTGTAAGACGGGGATGCTGCCCTATAGACTTACGCTGAGGAATTTTTAAAAGACCATACATGCATACCTTGAAGATATTGCAGGTTCTGTTCCAGACTCCCACAATAAAGTGAGTAGCGCAATAAAGTGAGTCGTAATCTTTTTGGATTGCGACTGGAGGGTCTTGCCTTCAATTTTTAAAAAACTCAACATCTGTGAAGCGCAATAAAGTGGCGCGCAATAAAACGAGGTATGTCTGTACATGTCACAACAGCTGTAGCCTGCTGTTTCGTTGATGTTCACTCTCTTCCTATTTTCAGAGCATAGTTTTAACAAAGGCTGAAAGCCAGAAGAGAGGAGAGCTTAGGAATATGGGAGGTGAGAGGCAGATCTGTCAGTACTAGCAGTGTGGCCTGTGGCAGGTCACTTCACTTCTCAGAATCTCCTTTTTCTTATCTGGAAAATGCAGGTAATAGCATGTTTCTCCTAGGGCTGTTTTAAGAATTGAGGTGTGCCTCCTCTCTCTGGAAAGAAGAAGGGAGAAGGCAAACAAGAGGAAGAACATCACAAATGAGCGTCTTGGTCAGTTTCCCCGCCCCATGTCACCCTTGTCATACTGAATTTCTTTCTGTTCTTTGAACGTGCTCTGCTTTCTCTCAGCTCCAGGCGCCTCCACGTGTCCTCTTCTGCCTGGAACGCCCCACCTGCTTTTCTCTCCTACCACAGCTGCTGGCCCCTGCTCCTCCTCCATGTGCATCACAGATTTATTCCTGGAAACCATCCTTGATTCTGCTTCCTTAGGGGCCTCGTAGGTACCCCCACAGCGCCCCCACTCCTCCCATCAAATGTGCCATGGCCTGTTGTTTACCTGCACTCCCCCGTGATGCCCTGAGAGCCTATAGCTCATTGTATTTCCAGGGCCTCATACCATGGGCTGTGCATAGTAGGTGTTTAGTAATCACTCGTTGAGCAAATGAATGGTCCAGTCCCTGAATCAGACTCACATGCAACATAGAAAACTCTGAGAAGCCTGAACCCCTGTGCAGGCTGGGCCTCTCCAGCACCCTTCCTTCCATCTTCCCTTCCCTTGGGCCTCTGCCACCTTTACGCCCCCGTTTCCCACCAACAGAGCAGGATAGAGGAGAAGTCATCATTTATCTGGGCACATCCCAAGCAGAGAACACTCAGACCCTGTGTTTGGGATCCAGAACACTCCAAGTTTGCCGTCTGCTCAGACGTGGGGACAGATGGCTGGACAGTGGACAGCTGGGCAGGGAGGGTAGGCAGCTTGGCAGGATAGAAATAGCAGTGAACTAAGCATTGGGAGTCCTGGGCTCACAGCCTATCTGTTCCACGAATTTGCTGCACATATCAGTCTGGGTCCTTTGGTTGCCAGCAACATAAACTGACTCTTAGTAACTTAGGCAGAAAAGCCACTTATCAGCAGGCTTTGGGGTATGACACAGAATGAAACTGGCCCCTAATCTTAGGCCCTTCCAGTGACAAGGGACAGGCAGGGTGACAGAGGAAGAGCGAGGTCATCCCCAAAAGAAAATCAGGATTTTGTTAACTACCTGAAAACAATTGTTCACACCCTGTATGACCTGAGGCAAGTCACTTAACCTCTCTTGCCTCAGTTTGCCCACTCGGATGTTCTAAAGCAGACATCTGTCCTCCATTCACGTCTCCAGTATTTTTTTGCTGAGAAAGCTTCCTGCCCTGGTCCCAGATAGCACCTTTCCCCATCTAGACATCTTGGGAATGAATGATGAGGGAGCAAGGTGAGTGAGTGTGTGGTTCCTTGCAGCTCATCACACTGAGGAGGGCAAGCCCTCTCCACGTGCATGCTGTGGGACCCATGACGCATTGCATGAGGTAGTCAGCCTGATCATTTGTTCATGGAACCAGCATGTCCTCTGCCCCTGCACGCTGAACATGCTGATGGAAATCTGGATGGCACATGGGCTCTTCCTGGTGATGGTCTGACCATCGTCTCCAGGTTGGGAAGGTCCTAGCTAGAGCCTGTGCTTCCAGCGCCTACCCCAAGACCCTACCTTGCCCTTCATTTGACCTTTAACATGGACATTGACAGACTCAGGCCCTATAGCAAACACTTGGGATGCAGAGGTGGCTGACCGAGTGGGATACTGCAAGTCACTGGAAGCCCGGTGCAGGAGGCAGGTGCATAAACAGCTAGCAATAGCAGCAAAACAAAGTCAGAGGTGGAGAGAAGTGTGCTCGGGGTGTGGGAGAGCCCAGAGATGAGAGAGCTTGATTCTTCCTGAGAGATCAGTGAGTGCTTCATGGAAGAGGTAACCTTGAGAATGACTACGATTGGGCAGGATGGGGAAAGGAAATTCCAAGCTGAAGGAATAGCATGAACAAAAGCCTGGTGGTGGGAGTGAACAGGTGTGATTCAGGAAATGGAGGAGTCTGGTGGGGTCGCGCTTTGGGAGGGTGGTAGGAGGTCCGTATTGACAGTGAAGGGTGTCTAGAGGGCACCGGCAGCCAGTGTGAAGTCCAAAGTAGAAGGCATGTCTGCCTGGGTTTGGGTCAGAAGGCTCCTGGGGACTCAGCCTTCTACCCAGGAGCCCTGGCTTCAGCATCCCAGCTCCTCCTCGTCCCTCACCCACCTGGGGAGAGGGCTCAGGCTGCTCTGCCTCCCTCCCCAAACCTGTCAGCTATTTCTCTGCATAAGTGCTGGGCAAAGCTGGCATCTATTCCAGGATGTCTCCTAACAGCACCCACTCATCCCCCATCCCACCCCCAGGCAGAGGTGAAGTGCCCCTAGCCTATCTCGGACAGGCCTCTTAGAACACATCACCCAGCCCACAGCAGGTACCTGTTCTGTCTACCCAACCCCACTCCACCGGCCACAAGCTCTGAGAAGATGGGGCGGGCTAGCCCGGTCCAGGCCAGGTCTCCGGCACCCAGCCTGGGTGGAGTAGCTGCGTGATACACATACGAATGAACAGATGATGGTGATGACATTCAAGCTGCAGGGAGCTTAGCGTCTGACCAGTTATTTTATAAATGAGGCCTCGGGCCCAGGGTGAGAGAAGACTACTCAAAGTCATAAGCATGTTGAAAGCAGAGTTTGAAAAAGAAGTTTGGTTCGTAGCAGCACTATTCACATTAGCCAAAAGATGGAAACAACCCAGATAGATGTCCATCACCTAATGAATGGATAAATAAAATGTAGTATATCCTTACAGTCAAATATTATTCAGCCAAAAAAAGGAATGAAGTACTGCTACACCTTCATTTCAAGGATGACCTTTGAAAATGTTATGCTGAGCGAAAGACACGAGACACAAAAGGCCTCATATTGTATGATTCCATTTATGTGAAACACCCCGAGTAGTCAAATATATAGAACAATGAGAAGAAGAGTGGTTGTTAAGGGCTAGGAGAGGGGAGACTAGGGAACGGCTCCTTAAAGGGAGTGGGGTTTGTTTTTGGGCTGATGAAAATCTTCTGGAACTAGAGAATAGCAGTAGTTGCACAACATCGTGAGTGCATTAAATTCCACTGAATTGTACACTTTAAAATGGTTAAAATGATGAATTTTATGTTATGTGAATTTTACCACAATAAAAAAAAGGAGTCATTTGGGACCAGATCAGATGCCACCAGCTGGGCCTAATGTCAATTTCTCAGACCTATCTGCTGGCCCCGCTTCCTGTTACAGACTTCCCAAGTCCAGGCCATGGGCTGGGGAGCCTGTGGCACCGCCTCAGTGTGGGGGAGCCCTATGGTCGGGGGGAGAGGGCTGTCCCCCAGGAAACAGGATTCCCGGCAGCCAGGCCTGCTTTTTGCTCACGGTCCCCTCCTGAGTCCTGTCCCCGCTTCACGTTCCCATCCCACTGACCAGCCTGCTTCCAATTACTGCCACCTGTTCTGTACATCTCGGGCCTCCACGCCTTGCTCTTGCAATTTGCTCTATGCAAGAAGGTATTTCCCTTGTGACCTGTCATCCACCTAGAAACATCCTTTAAGAACCAGCTCCTGTCTTCCCCTTGGAAAAGACTTTCTCTTCCCCCCGCCCCCTCACCACAAGCAGAACTGAGCCCTTCCCCAGGTGTCACGTGCATGTGTCAATTAAAGCAGGTGTGGGTGCCATCGTGTTTGCACATGCGTCTCCCCAGGAGGACTGGGAGCCGTGGCTTGTTCGTCACTATTCCTGGGACAGCTCTGGGGCCGTGCACATACGAGGTGCTCAGCAAATGCTTGTTGAATGAGGCAATGGCTTTGGGATGGATCTCTTAGTTCCCAGACATTCGCCACCAGTGAGGGAGGGACAGGCTGGGGGATGTCTTTTTATCTCCGGTGTTCTCTGGTTCTAAGAGCAGCAGTAGTTGGGGGGGTCACCCCAGCAAGTTTCTGTCTGTTGTCACAGGCCAGTTTTCTGCTCCGGTTGCCTGGCTGATAAAGGAGAGAGAAGGAGCCTGCAGCTATTTCTGCTCTTGGCAGGGAGGAAGGAAGGCGATGCCCAGAGACTAGGTTTCTCCATCTAGCCTGAATGGACCATCTCTGTTCTTTGGAAATCTAATTAAAACCCTCCCCTGAACAGGCTAGACATATGAGTTTGGGCTGAGGTTGCCTGGAGTCCTTCAGCTACAGGACCGAGCAGCGGGCTCTTGCTCCATTTCCCTCTACAAACGCAAGGTGCTACTCTTTCTGTTTTTCTGATTATGAAATTAGTCATTTTCTAGGAAGCTTATTTATAGAGTCCTCTGCACACATGCAGCACCAAGCTATTCTGAACACGGCTTGGGGCCAGAGAGGCTTAAGGTGTGAAAGCAGCTGTGAGTCACCCCTGGGGCCCCTTCCAGAGGTATGGATATTTTGGTTACCTTTCTGTACCCAGCCAGGGGGCCAGCCCTAATGGGCTGCCCTCTAACTGGGGTGCTCTTTAGGATAAAGAAAGAAAAAGCTCAGGATTGGAAGATTGGGGGTAGGTGTTCTTGATCCCAATCCCTGCGTGATGTACCACCTGAGGCAAGTCAGACCCCCATTCCGTGCCTCAGCTTCCTCCTCTGCAAAATAAGGGGCGTTCCACATGTGTAATTCTGTGACTACTGCGGACAGCAGCTCTGGAGGAGGGTTCCAAGGAGTCTAACAAAGAATCGCCCACAGGGCAGCTCAGCTCAGATGGCAGCCATGTTTGAGGTTCCTGGTATTTTCTCAAGAAGGTCAGACCAACATTCATTTTTTCCAGCAAGTATTTATTTATTGAACACCTACTATGAGCCAGGCACTGTGTGAGGCTTTGAAGATACAATGGTAAATAAAAAAGAAATGGTGGTCCCTGCCACATGTAGCTTGTAGTCTAATGGTCGCAAGAGATGTTAATCAAATAACAGCATAAATTAAAATGAAATTTCAAACTGTGTCAAGTGCTATGAGTAAAAAGTACTGAGCTGGGGGAGTTCTCCAGGCAGAGAAAAGTGTATACAAAGTCACTGTAAGAAAAAGAGCCTATGGGCTGACTGAGTGGCTCAGTTGGTTAAGAGCGCTGAGCAACAGGGTCGCCGATTTGATTCCCACGTAGGCCAGTGAGCTTCACCCAAGCTGAGCTGCTGCTGAGCTGCCAACAGGTGGCAGGATGGCTCAGCTGGTAAGAGCGTGTGCTCCTAACAACAAGGTTGCCAGTTCGACTCCTGCACAGGATGGTGGTCTAAGCCCACCCGCAACTAAGATTGAACACGGCACCTAGAGCTGAGTGGCTGCAAACTGCTGACAGGTGGCCAGATGGTGACTGGATTTAGAGCTGAGCTAGCTGCGCCCTCCACAACTAAGACTGAAGGACAACAACTTGGCTGTTCCCCTTCCCAATTCCCCAACACTGTTCCCCTTCCCCAATTCCCCAATAAAATCTTGAAAAGAAAAGAGCCTATCCACAGTGGCTAGAGTGCAGAGATCAAGAAACATGAAATAAGGTTGGACAGATAAACAAGGGTCAGATCATGCAAGATCTAGTAAGCTTTGTTAAAGGATTTTCATCTTTGTTCTAAGCACAGTATGATGCCATTAAAATAGGTTTTCAAGGAAGGTTATATATTAAATGTTGAGTTTTGAAAGAGTTGATTCTAGCTCAAGCTTGCCCCATTCAGTTGTGAATGTTGTAAACTGCCCAACCTATAAAGCCATATGTATTGGAGCATATGGAGACTGTTTTGGAGGCCAGCCTAAATGGATGCTGGAGACCAGTTAAAAGACTGCTGCAGTAATCTAGGCAAGAGATGCTGGCTTGGACCAAGATGGAGGTGGTGGAGAAGGAGAAAAGTGGAGGGACTCAGGAGACATTTAAAGGGCCTTGACAAAAGCAGACCTCTCTGCAAGAGAGCTGGGCTCTGGGATATGGGTTTCTCAGAGACCCTGCCAATTGCAGTGAGGAAAAAAAATAAAATAATGCAGTGCCAGTTGCGAGCACCTTAACCCAGCCTGTCTGCCTGCCCTTAATTGTTTTGGATCTGCAGCCAGGCCTGAAATCGGCCATAGGACCAGTCTGAGAGGCAGGACTGCAGGACTGGTGGGCAGAGAAGCAGCTGACTGCTCAGATTTCGTGGAAGCATTATGCTAATGAGACTCTATTAAAGTTTCTTTTGGTTGCCAGTCTCAGAAATCAAATCCCACTGGCTTCAGCTAAAATGTTGGAACTTATTGGAAGGATTCTGGGGTATCTCATGGTCTTGATGAACACGTTGCCCATTCAGGACTCAGAATGGGCAGGAATGCGGCAGCTCCGAGGCCCTTGGCAGCAGGTTTTTTCGGACCTTTAATCCAGAACACTGTGGCTACCATGATTCAACACCAGTGACTGAAGGCTCCAGGCCCTCCAGAGTACATTTGAAAAGTGCAGGCTAGAGAATCTGATTGACCCAGGCTGGTTGGTGTGTCCATCCCTGAATCAGTCAGCTGGGAAAAGCTAGACTCCAGGATAGTCCCTGATAGTCTTGAAAGAGGGTTTTCTGATTTCAAAAAGAAGTAGAACATTTAGACTATGCAAAAATTACCTATCGCTTCTTCTCTACCTATTTCTGAAGAAGAATTTCGCATATCGCTGTCCACTGCCTGAGGCACTGGGCACTTGTAGGCCTTGGGGAGCAGGACACAGACTGTGTCTTACCCGGACCCCTCTTCTTGCTCACCCATGCTTTCAACTATTAAACACACAGGAACTAGGAGGAGGAACAGCACAGCAGTGAGATCATGAGCCTAGAGTCCTAGACTGTAATTTCATCCGCAGCACCACCTTAATGAGCTGTGTGACCTTGGGCAAGTTACTTAACTTCTCTGAGCCTGCTTAATGATCCTTAATTCATGGGGTCATGATAAAGACTCAGTGTAATAAAGTTTGAAAAGTGCATTGCATATAGTAAGGCCTCCTTCCATGGTAGAGATGATGGTGTTATAGATGGTTATAGTGATGATGATGTTGCTGCTGATTGCATATGGAAGATACCTGCAGAATCCTGTTGCTGCCTCTGCAGCCCGATCCCTCGGTAGGTTGGTCTTGTCCTCAGGTTCCCCTGATGGGGTGGGGTTATTCAAAGGGACACAGTGCAAGAAAGGAAGGCTTTTTATCTTTGCTCAGGCTTTTGTCTTGATCCCAGCCCAACAGCATCATTTCATGTTTTTGATTCTGCTGCAGGAGGGAGAGAGAGAATCACGCTGCTGATGACTCTGCGGGAGGGGCCCTGGACATGTGCTGCAGTGAGAGGCTGCCGGGTGAGTCTTCCCAGCACGCAGGTGCCCCCCAGACTTCCGAATGGAAGGAGAGAGCCCCAGAGGTCCCTGGGGCTGGAGTAAAGCCTGGTTAGCTGCAAACTTGCTGGAGAGGAGTGACTCAGCTGGTCCATAGGTCTTCATTTAAATGAGGATTTGTTTTTCTAATCCCTGATGTCTTTCTGACCTGTTATCCTTTGGAGCTGCTCTAGGCTGGGAAGAGTGGGTAGCTGAGGATGTGCTGGGAGGGTGGAGAGAATGGTGAAGAGCTGGGGAGTCCACGGCTGATCAGAACATGACCACTGACCCGTAGTGTGTTGGGCAGACTTCATGAGGTAAGATTAGGAAACACAAACAACCTGTCTATGGCATGAACCCAGGGTGGGGTGGGTGGGGTGAAGAAACTACCGGATAGCCCTGGTGAGAAGCCTGGTTGTGAATGTCATGTTGTGCTGTGTGAGTCTGGTTGACCACACTTGGGGGGAGCCTGGATGTCTGAACCAGAGGCCACTGTGGTCACCACAGAGACATTACCAAGGCACTCCTGCCCGTGAGTGGCAGCATGGTCCAGTTGTAGATCAAATAAGTCGTGTTAAACAGCCCTGGAAGGAATAAAGGGAAGGAAAATGGGGGGAGTTTTTAGTAGGATTTTTTGTTTGGTTTTTTTTTTTTTAGAAAACTTTCATTGTTTTTTTTCTTCTTATAAGAAATAGCCATTGTAGAAATATTAGAAAATAAAGACAAATAGGAAAAAAAAAAGAAAAATCAACATACTCCTGTAACACAGCATACATTTTCCTATCTCCTTCCAAGTCTTTTTGTTTAAAACAAACACACACAAAAACCCAGGCATTTGAATTCTAATGTTGAAGTCCCAAACCTGTAGCTTATCAGAAGCCTCATGATTGGCAAGGAACCTTAGGATGGAGTCTTCAGTGACACTCTTTAAAATAGACATTTAAAACAACTAGGTATGCCTCTAAAGTGATGACTCTTTAAAATAAGTGGTTATTTTCTTCACACCATGAGCCAGTGCCCCAGGTACTGCTGAAGCCCCTCAGGCAGCAAGGTAAGCATGGAGCCCCTTAATGCAATTCACACCTTATCCAGTAGGGGTGCCATTTCTCAAAAACACTTTGGACAGCCTGTTGAAAATGGTCTAAGGTGGACCCCATCGTGGCACAGGAATCGTGAGGACTGGAAACAACTAGCTTGAAGAAAAGAATTTTCCAAAGGGATGTGAAAGCTGTCTGCAACTGTCTGAAAGGCTGCCTTGTGAAGGAGACAGCCGATTTTTTCTGTGTGTATCTGAGGAAGATGGCATAAACCCAATACATCGAAATTAAAGAGAGGCCTGTTGGCCCACAGAATGCAGAACTTTCTTTCTGACGCTAAAAGTGGTCCAGTCATTGAACTTGATAATTTAAGAGGAAGAAAATGAGTGTTCCATCACCAGAGGCATTCAAATATTTTCTGGATAGACATTGGAGAGGAAATTTCCACAATGGGTGTGGGAGGTCGAGATGACATCAAAAGTCCCTTTCAACTATTGAACAGTTCTGTGATTCAGATATGAGTCATAGAATTCGGAGGTGATTCTACAACCAGGGATGGCCCCACTGGCTAGAAAAATCCACGGAAAGTAGGATATGATGTATAGGCATCCAGAGATTAGTGTGGTGTGAAGGAGAAAGCACGGGGTTTGGCCTTTGAGTCTGACTGTTCCATTTACAGGCGGTTATTGGACAGGTTGCTTAATCTTACTGGGCCTCTAGTATCTCATTTGTAAATGCAAACAATAGCACTATGAATATTTATCTTCACAAAGATTAAATAAATATAATCATACACTTATTCAACAAATATTTATTGAAAATCTACTGTTCTGTACTAGGTTCTATACTAGGTGCTAGGAATAATAGTCGTGGCTAAAGCAGACATCGTCCCTTTCTTGCTTTGAGTTGCTCTGGAAAATGGGGTGAAGCCACAGCAGAGAGGCTATAGTGATAAGCATGTTTAATTCCATCCCTCCCTCCCATTCCTCCCTGAGAGCCAGCCACCAGTGTGGAATGGAAGAAGAGTGTTGGTCATCTGCATTGGAGCCGGCACACTGCCTTCCTCATGCTACCTACTGTTCCCAGTGCTTATACACATATGTCTCATGCAATCCTCTCAGTTAACTGAAGAAGTTACTATCATTTGCTATCCCTATCTTATAGTTGAGAGGACCAAGGCCCAGGGAGGTTAGGGAGTCTGTCCAGGTTGTTTACCTAGTGTTTTACAGAGTGAGTATTCACTTCAGGCAGTCTCTCTCCAGAGCTCATACTCCTGGACTCTGCCCCATCCTGCCTCCGTTGTCTCCATGGAGCCACCATCATCTTCTGACACCCTGCAGATTGAGGCAGGAAGAGCGAAGGTGTGTCTGTCCCCAGGGAGGAGTTTGGAGAAGGTGGCAGCTCACACACCTGCCAGTCTTGCAGAGGCCAGGCAAGTTGTGTGCTCCTCTAGACTCCCACGATGCCATCTTGAAATGATATTAAAGTAACTTTTTGTCTGTTTTCTCTATGGGACCATGAGCTCTACGAAGGCAAATACTTCTCTATTTCATCCTCCATGTCCAGCATTCATTCACTCATCTCTTAATCCTTTCACTGGCTATTCATTGAGCGCCTACTGACACTCTTGTAAGCACTGGAGATTCAACAACGCACTAAACTGAGAAAATGTCCACCCTCACAGAACAGTATTATGTGCTGGTTAAGAGCAGGGACTCTGAACCAGGCTTGGCGCCACAACTTACCATTAGGGTGATCATGGGCAAGCTACTTAACCTCTCTGTGCCGCCCACTCACAAAATGATAAGAATAATATTCACTGCCATACAGAGTTGTTGGAGGATTAAATGAATTAAAAGAGAGAGAGCTTAGAACAGGTTCTGGTACACAGCAGGTGCTGCATAGGCATTTGCTATTAAGGGAAAGATAGACAAAATAACTAAGATACCGGGGGTGCCAAAAAATATTTACACATTTTAAGAGATGTTATCTATGTATTACTTTTTGAACTTGGATTGAATCACGGTGGCAATGTGTAGTATGACGTTCGCTCAAAAGATGGCGTTAGGGCCAGCCAAGTGGCACGTTGGTTAGAAGTTGGTTTGGGATGCCAGCTCTGAGCAGCAGGGCCCCAGTTCAGATCCCACATGCGGGCCAGTGACTCTGCCCTCTACAGCTAAGATGGTGAACAACAGCTAGACCTGGAGCTGGGCTGCTGTGAGTCACTGGTGAAGGCGTAGGCTGCAGCCTCTGCTGCAGTGGGCTGCCGTGCTACCATGAGTGGCTGGCAGCCGGCGTGAGTGGCTGGCAGCCCCGAGAGCTGCCAAGAGCTGCCGTGAGCGACCGTCCAGTGGCCGGCGACTGATCTGCCTCACCCAGGAAGAGTTCAATGATCACAATACCAACATGGACCAGTGAAGTGATGTCCTCCACAACTAGACTGAAGAACAAAAGGACAGCAACTTGTCTGTTCCCCTTCCCTGATTCCCCAATGCTGTGCCCCTCCCCCAATTCCCCAATAAAATCTTTAAAAATAAAATAAAATAAAAAAGATGGCGTTAATCAAATGAATGCTAGCATCACCATGCGACAGACAGGACAGTCAGAGAAAATGGCCAAAGCATGGTTGTTGCTCAAGGAGCGCAAGACCATTTTGAAGTGGTATTTGAAATTCGAGAACATTGTGGAAGTACAGCGATAATGGAGGTGTGAGTATGCAACAGAACCTCCAACAACGCCTAACAATTGCACGCATTCATGATAAGTTTGAGACGCATGGTACTGTGTGAAGAAATTGAAACAGCATGCGCAGCGATACAAGTGGACACTTTGGTCAACTTTGCTCAAGCAGTAGTCGCTATAATCAGAAGTGTCTGGACACTGATGGTAACCACTTTGAGCACCTCTTGTAATTGCAGAAGTCAAACGTGACCAGTATTCATCTTTTGTTATTGGTATATATTGAGTGTTACAATTTCAATAAAGTTTTTGCCTTTCCTAAAATGTGTATACCTTTTTTTGGCACCCTCTGTATATAGTATAATAAGTGCTATGGAGAAAATTAAGGCCAAGAAGCAGGGGATGAGAAAGTACTGGAGGGTGGTTTGGCATTGTAAATAGGGTGGTTCTGGAACCTGGTAAAGGGTAGGTTTCCATAAATGTTTGTCAGCTAAAATCATTCACCTGAACTGCAACTTGGACATAAAAGGAGCTAGAGGTATAAAGGCTAGGAGAATTGCAATGCTGGGCCTTTAGAATGAGCCAATGGGCACTGCATGCGATTGTGTAATGATGGTATAAAAATACAGCCCTCATGTAATCTCTCCCCCTCCCAGCTGTCTTTCCTGCTGGGCGAGACGAGAGGCAAGGCAGAGTGAGGGCCAGCCATGCTTGGGTGATTGATTCACTCATTCTTCCATGTACCGCCAGGCTGGGGCAACATGACCAGCACTCCCAGCCACAGTTACTTGGACCTGAGCCAACGCCAAGCAGGTCATACAGTCCTCCCAGCTTGAGATTCATGGGTGAAAACATCCATGTCAGGCATTGCCAACATCCAGGCAACGCACAGCTGCCCCGGGGGCAGGCATGTTTGCTCACACCCCTGGGGCACTCCACACAGGTGCTCATACACTCGTATGTGTTCTTACTTGTCACAGCCTCATGCTCACATATTCACATGCACATACCCGCACAGTCACCCAGACACATGCCCTGTCTTTCTTTGTTTCACAGGGTCCTGCGAGGCACACACCCGCCCTCAAGCTCACACACCTCTTGCACACTCGGGCTCTCTTAGCTCCGTGGCTCCATCATCCACCCCACCCCCCACCCCCCTTCACTATACATGCTTTTAGAGATGGACGAACTTGCTTGCTCTCTCATTCTCTCTTTAAGTTCTTTCTGTCCTGCAGCCACATCCCTTCTCCCGGACACATAGAGACAAGC